TAGTAATGGATCAAGTTGCTTAATGAAATGATATAATATGGATATTGTTATTGCTGACAGAGGAAAGACCACGATAAATTTATGATTTAAATCATTTATCTAACAAATGCACTTTTTGTAATTTTAAATGATCACTTCATATTTACACTTCTCTGATATTATATGTTATATGGACGAACTTGAAACGCTATTATTGATAATTGGTTGATATTAACCATATTTATATGTGGAATTAATTTGATTTTGATAGTTTGGGTTGGTTTAGTGATTGAAAATTATGGGGTTGGGGGGTTGGGGGGGGGGAGGGAGGATAGTTTGGGTTGGTTTAGTGATTGTCAATTATGAGTTTGGGGGCGGGGGAGGAGGGGAATAAAGCTATTTATTAGTTCATGTTGTACCATCTATTGATGAGGCTTATTATCTTTCGTTAGTACTTGGGTTTGTCAAAGGTCCAACCTGTTTCTTTAAAAACATGGGAAGCTTAATGAATTGACCCAAAATTTGAGGTCAATTGCAATTTTAAACCTCATTTTCTCTCTCACCAAAATTTTATCAAACTAACCATAAGATTCGACTTATTTACGGAAATATCATTATATTTGAATTTTTTTTTTAAAATCAGACATTCAAAACACACAAACAAACACCCAAATATATCAACTTATTTACAAAAATGCCATCATCATCAATATTTTCGACCACCATAAACAACCAAAATCAAACTCTAAATGCTTCCTCAACTGATTTTTCGTGGATAAGAGCTTCATATGTGAGTTCATAAGTTTTTTCTCACCCATTTCCTCTCCAATTTCATCCAAAAAACTATCTAAATTTGGTTTTCAAAATTCTTTCTCTCCTAATATATCGATTTTCAATGGTTCTTGCATAAACGATGGCTGGGCTTCTTTAACGGTCAGAATAGAAGTTTCAGGTGCTTGAAGGAGCTGAAAACTGAGCTCTACGGTGGAAACAGAGCTGAAAACCGTGTTTTTCGATCTGGTTCGCTAGTAGACTGCATAAGAAGCCTGCTCGTGAAGTCTGCTTGTTCTCCTTTTTTTTTTTGGGTCAAGTAGTTTTCATTAGCTTAAACAGGGGCCTCCAGAGAAGGATTACAGATTGATAACGCAAGCTTAGCTAAAGAGTCTGCTTCAAAGTTAAGAGATCTAGAGATAAAATGGAAAGATATGGAAGAGAAGAGAGTAACAAGGCCCCTAATGTCGTGTAGGATGCCTGCTATCTCATTCAAATCCTCACCCAAAAGAAGGGTGTTAACTAATACTTCTATGTCTGAAAAGACTTGTAAATTGTTGAAACCTTCAGCACTTGTAGCTAGGAGGGAGGAGCGAAGGGCTAAGGCTTCGGCCACCATCGCCGAAGGTACAAATTGAAGCATTTGCGATCCTTTTGCAATCAGGAGGCGACGTGAGTTTTTAAAAACCCAACCCATACCTCCCAAACTGTTCTCTGCTTTCCAAGCTCCGTCCGAAAATCAAAGAGAGCAATCGACATGGGGATGGGGCGGCTGAGGACGTGACTGAATTTGTCTCTGTTTTTCCGGATGCGAGTTAGCAGCCTGCCAATTCCTTGCGTCGAAGATAGCTTTCTAGATCACGTCCGCTTCCGAGAGGTGACGAGCTTCAAAAATCATCATATTCCGTGCGGTCCAAAGGTGCCAAAGAATCCAAGGGTAAAGCTGAGAGAGATTGAGTCCCAAAGGCGGTAGTGATGTTGAAGTTCGATACTGGTTCAGTAGCTGTTTCATATCGGTGAAACGTGACTGGAAGTTCGGGCCTTTGTAAAGGGGGGCGGAGTTCCAAACAATCTGGGCAAAGGGACAAGAGAACAGGGCATGGGCTTCACTTTCGATCACACCGCATCGGTGACAACTAGTGGCAGCCCCAAAACCCCAGGTAGACAGGTTGGTACCCACTGGAAGTGCTCCAACAGTGGCTCGCCAAAGGAAGTGTTTGATCTTTGGGGCCGAGTGCAAAGACCAAATATTACTGTACCAATTAAAGTCCATGTGAGGCAGAGGATATGTGCTCTGTTTTACTATTTTGTACCCTGATTTTGTTGAATAACAACCTGATTTTTCAGGTAACCAGACTAAAGTATCTTTAGGTTTCCGAGAACTCGGATAGATTAGCCGAATAACGTCCTCATATTGAGGTAAAAGTTCTCTAATGGCTGTTAGGTTCCATTCATTGGAAGAAGGTAGGAGAAGATGGCTTACCATAAGCTTTGCACTCATTTCTGTTGGTAGACCAATTGGGGAAAGAGGATGGGAAGTGGAGAGCCAAGGTTCTGTCCAAATATTAATGCTTTCCCCATTTCCCACAAGCCAACCTAAACCTTTTTCCATAATCTCTCGACCCGCTAGAGTCCCCTTCCATCCATGAGAGGAAGCCAGTCCTGTAGAGCATTCCAAAAAACTTGAATCATGACAATATTTGCCTAGAAGGACCTTGGATAATAGAGAGTCCAAGGCTTTGAAAACCCTCCAACTGAGTTTTACGAACAAAGCGTCGTTGAACTCTTCCACTTGCCGAAAGCCAAGACCCCCTCCACCTTTAGAGAGAGTTAGTTTATCCCATGATATCCAAGACATCTTGCGTTTCTCCGGAGAATCGTCCCACCGAAACTGGGTAAGGATAGATTGAATTCTTTTGCAAAGAGATTTGGGGATTTTAAAACACGGAATAGTGTAGGTTGGTAAGGCCGAAAGAACTGTTTTTAAGAGGACTTGTTTGCCCGCTCCCAAGAGGAAACGAGTGGACCAAGATATGGCTTTTTGTCGCATCCTATCCACCAATCCCGTGAAGACATCTTTCTTTCTTCTACCAAAGTTTTCCGGTAGTCCCAAATACTTACCAACTACTCCCTCATTGATGATGCCAAGAGAGTTCTTAACACGGTATTTTATTTCCGGTGGAGTTTTTCCGGAGAAGGTAACCGTTGATTTGCTAAGATTGATGCATTGGCCCGAACACTCCTTGTATCTTTGGAGGATGGCGTTGAATTCTTTACAACATATCTCAT